ACAATATAAATTCACTCTAACATCAGCTTTCCCACTACTTTCTGAATTGTGCCATCTTCAAACTGCCTGCCCAATTATGTGGCACAGCCCAGGCTGGAAGAAAGATTCTAAAAGCTCTTACTGACTTTAAAGTCACATCTACATTAATTATACAAGCCCTGAAAAATTTAACACCTACTAAAACCAAAGATTAAGAATACTTGGAATGAAATAAACTCTGTGACCACTGCAATTCAAAGAACCAAAAAGCTGTCAAGGCTTATTGCTGGCTGGTTGAGTTTGACTGTAAAATACTGTCAACTTTAAGAGATTAAAACAGCTTGCCATGTCTTGATTTTGTTAGACATTTCCTCTTCCTGATTTCACTTTATTTTACTATCCCTTCCCCCCGCCAACAGGAGAGTTCTATATTTTTTCTTTTCCCTAGCATTGGTTCCTCTTTCACATTCCATACTTTCTCACCCTTTCCTCTTGTTATATCTTTTTTTCCCCTCCCTAGACTATTCTTTTCTATTTTTGATCCTCTCTGCCCCCACCTATCCTCCTCAAAAAGCTCCTATATTTTCCTCCATACTTTTTCTAATTTATGCCATCTAACTGCAGAAAACTAAATCCACTAGCCAGACACACCAATATCCATAGACAAATTTAATTGTTTGTAATTATGGGCATGTTTTTAAAATGATGCAAGCTCCATGCCAGTTCAAATGGGGGAATTTGTCTTTGGAAATAGGAAATGCTTTTCAGAAGACATGAGAAGCAACCTCAACTATTCTGCCCAACTATTCTAGATCAAGGAGGGGAACAAAAGGACTCTAACCAAGATATGCTGCACCTGGAGCTTATTTGCCTCTATCCTTTACAGCTTGTATACATTTCTAAAACATCAAACAATCTCATAATCCTGTTTCACTAACAGAAGGGGAAAAAAGACACTTTGTCATTCCCAACCATCTCCCATCCTACTGTGCATTTGCAGATAGGCAAAAAATATCCATTAATTTGACCCCATTTCACCTAATCTTCTGCCTTCTGTAAACAGGGAAGCACCTGTATATGTTTTTCATTTTTTTTCCTCACTGCTCAGTTCCAGTTTTGATCCCTTTCCTCTATTTCTTATTTCAGTGCTACTGCTACTCCTCAGAGCTTTGTCTACCAGCAGCACCATGAAAACAGCCTGATCCTTTTCAGTTTTATTGCTGACATTTAAGTTCTGATTGGCTGCTGTGAAAACAAACCGATGATTCTGGATAGTTTTCCTTCTGCTATGACACAGCTATGAAAGGAAACAAAAAACAATGAAGCAATATTCCTAGCACTTTGGAAGACAATGCTACATTGCACACTTTGCAGCCACAATGGCAGCAGATTCATTGCGTGTTACATTTAAGTTTAGTTCCTACATAGCTTAATGGTATTTGCCTGAGAAAACTTCCCACTTGCTATGAGCAAACAAACTGTGTAATGCTGCCAGATGCACACTAGTTTTAAAAAAAACAAAACCCTTTTTCCCCCCTCACATTTTTTATTTTTACTATATTTTATTCACTAAGTGTAATCATTGTCACCCCCTCCCCAAGCGACTAATTATTTTACCTGCATTACCTGGATGTTAGTTCATTTATTTTAACTGAAAGTCAAGGCTACATGCTGTGATCTAGTTTTTAAACACCTAGATCACACCCAAACAAGTGTGGCCCTGTGCTATATGGCGGTGCAGACATACTGCATATTCAGGCATTCCCCTCACTGCTACCTTACCATGTGGGGGATTTTTTTTTTTTTTTTTT